CTGAACAAGATATCTGTTTTTATCCCCAAAATATCCAAAATAATCTTCATTTTTCTCATTAAATCTTACCTAAAAATTGAAATACTTAAAACTTTCAATAAATTGATAAAAATCTGAATTCAAATGAATTTATCTAAAGATGGCAAGTTAAAAAGTCCACTTTTCAATCAACCAAGTCTGTCAGAGCCAATGCTAAAGAAATGAACCTATCTATCTCAAGAGGGACACATCAGTCGTCTCTCACTTCCATTTACCGAGACACTCCAGTCGAAATCTAGACTACTTAATAATGAACCGACTCAGCACCAACCCGGACCTAGCACAGTCTACAGCCAATAGGCCCTCCATTTAACTCCATTGGATTATCAGATAGCAAACTTTTCAATGGGATCAATGACAAATCTAAACTTGGACACCCCAACTTTGTTAAGTATTTATAGTCTACACACTGAATCATAATTACAGGCTGATTGGTCTAGCTAGGTGTATAACAATTATTGAAATATCATCCAAATGTCAGTTTTAGAATCATGCAAGATTTCATAAGTTTTCAACAGGATACTGATTTCATCAAAAGCAGAGATTTCATCAAAAGCAGAGATTTCATCAAAAGCAGAGATTTCATCAAAAGCAGAGATTTCATCAAAAGCAGAGATTTCATCAAAAGCAGAGATTACACCAAAAGCAGAGATTTCATCAAAAGCAGAGATTTCATCAAAAGCAGAGATTTTATCAAAAGCAGAGATTTCATCAAAAGCAGAGATTTCATCAAAAGCAGAGATTTTATCAAAAGCAGAGATTTCATCAAAAGCAGAGAATTCATCAAAAGCAGAAGTGACGACTCATGTGAGCATATAAACATTGTTAAAGATGGGTTCCCTTATTTTCATTTATAAAAACCAAAATGCTTATACTTATATGAATAGAAAGTAGAGGTGTTCTAATAACTTGGAAATATACTAGTTTTTCTCACATGTCCATAATTAATTCATAATTAGCTAAATTAGTAGAGAATTACCAGCAGAATTCCAATGAGTGACCGATCAAGAAAGGCTTTTTTTGTTTATCCAGACTGTACAATTCACTTGCATTCTTGCCAGAGTTTAGTCTTGTATTCAAATTGATATAACAAGTCTAAAGTGTGTGATATATACTACTGACTGAGTTATTCTACTATCCTAGCAGACAACACTCTAACTTGCTATTGACTGAGTTATTCTACTGTTCTAGCAGACAACACTCTAACTTGCTATTGACTGAGTTATTCTACTGTTCTAGCAGACGACACTCTAACTTACTACTGACTGAGTTATTCTACTATCCTAGCAGACAACACTCTAACTTGCTTTTGACTGAGTTATTCTACTGTTCTAGCAGACACTCTAACTTACTTCTGACTGAGTTATTCCACTGTTCTAGCAGACAATCTAACTCACTACTGACTGAGTTATTCTACTGTCCTAGCAGGCGACAATCTAACTTGCTACTGACTGAGTTATTCTACTGTCCTAGCAGACGACACTCTAACGTACTACTGACTGAGTTATTCCACTGTCCTAGCAGACACTCTAACTTACTACTGACTAAGTTATTCTACTATCCTAGCAGACAACACTCTAACTTGCTATTGACTGAGTTATTCTACTGTTCTAGCAGACACTCTAACTTACTACTGACTGAGTTATTCTACTGTTCTAGCAGACGACACTCTAACTTACTACTGACTGAGTTATTCTACTGTTCTAGCAGACACTCTAACTTACTACTGACTGAGTTATTCTACTGTCCTAGCAGACGACCATCTAACTTGCTACTGACTGAGTTATTCTACTGTCCTAGCAGACACTCTAACTTACTACTGACTGAGTTATTCCACTGTCCTAGCAGACACTCTAACTTACTACTGACTGAGTTATTCCACTGTTCTAGCAGACACTCTAACTTACTACTGACTGAGTTATTCTACTGTTCTAGCAGACAACACTCTAACTTGCTATTGACTGAGTTATTCTACTGTTCTAGCAGACGACACTCTAACTTACTACTGACTGAGTTATTCTACTATCCTAGCAGACAACACTCTAACTTGCTTTTGACTGAGTTATTCTACTGTTCTAGCAGACACTCTAACTTACTACTGACTGAGTTATTCCACTGCTCTAGCAGACAATCTAACTCACTACTGACTGAGTTATTCTACTGTCCTAGCAGACGACAATCTAACTTGCTACTGACTGAGTTATTCTACTGTCCTAGCAGACGACACTCTAATGTACTACTGACTGAGTTATTCCACTGTCCTAGCAGACACTCTAACTTGCTATTGACTGAGTTATTCCACTGTTCTAGCAGACACTCTAACTACTACTGACTGAGTTATTCTACTGTTCTAGCAG